CTGCCCCGACGTGCCCCCGCGGGCGCCGCTGCCAGGGCTCCGTGTGGACGTGCCCGTGCCCGCACGCACGGCGCGGGGGGCACAGGGGCAGCCCGGGACGGGGCCCGCCGCGTGCGGGATCCCGGGATRCAGAGGGCAGGCGGTTGCACAGCAGCACGTGGCGGGCAGGGCACCCGGGCACGCAGGCAGCCTGTGGGCACGGGACGCTGCGGAGCGTGGTTGTGTCTGTCACCCACGTGCCCGCCTCACGCGCCATCCCTCCCTTGCAGCTGAACTACCTGGGCCCGCCGTTCAATGAGCCCGACTTCAACCCGCCGCGGCTGGCGCGGGCCGAGCGCGTGCCCAGCGCCACCGTGGACTTGGAGCTGTGGCGCGGGCTGACGGACAACGCGCGCCTGGCCGCCAACTACCGCGCCTACAGCCGCCTGCTGTGCTACCTGCGCGGCCTGGACGGGCAGGCGGGCACGGCCGAGCTGCGCCACAGCCTGGGCCACTTCTGCTCCAGCCTCCAGGGCCTCGTGGTGAGCATCGCCGGCGTCATGTCCTCGCTGGGCTACCCGCTGCCCGCGGGCACGGCCGCCGGCCCGCCGGCGCCCGCCGGCGCCCCCGCCACCCCCAACGACTTCCTCAAGAAGATGGACGACTTCTGGCTGCTCAAGGAGCTGCAGACCTGGCTGTGGCGCTCGGCCAAGGACTTCAACCGCCTCAAGAAGAAGGTGCCGCCCGCCGTGGTGACGCTGCGCCTGGAGGCGCGCGGCTTCTGAGGGGCCGCCGCGGGGTGCAGCGCCCGCGTGCCGCCCCCGTCCGCTCCCTGTGCCCCAAGGGACAGAGCCCTCGCGCCGGGGCACCGCAGGCACGCACGCTGAGGGACGGGGCGGCTCCCGCCGCGGCCGCCCCGTGTTGCCGCCGTCACCGCCGCGTGCCCCCGGGAACGCCGCTCCTCACCCACCCGCTGCGCCAGCGCGGCCAGCGCGCATCGCCCCGTCACCGCACCGTGCCTTGAGCCGCAGGGCTCCTCATGTGCCACCGCCGCCACCCTGCTGCCACCACAACGTGCCTTAAGGGACAGGCTGACCC